ATTCCGCCCCCTGTATCGGGTTCGTGGTCGATTATCAAGGCAGGTTCGCTATCGTATGCTAGCCACAGCGGAAGCGGTAGGAATTCGGCTGCACCAACCCCCTTTGTGTGCCCCCAAAAAAATTGTGCCGACGCTTAAGCTCCCCTGGCCCACCCCTTATACACCCCATATTCCGAGTGGTCATCAACGATTGGATGATCTAACAATTATGCGATCATTTAGAATTCCATATCCGGTCCCAAGATGAACTTAGCCCTGGATAACCCAGAGGTTATTTTCCCTTTCCCGAAACATTTGTATGCGTTTTTATGATTGAATACTGATTTATATATATAACAGCGTAATATTTATTGTGATGTATTTGGCATGACTACGAATAACTGAAAACGAGCTTGTTCGCCACTCCTTGTTCTATTTGAAACATTCTACGAAACGCTGTTTGAACGCAGCATCTGTTAAATTTTTCATCACTGTTGTAGGGAGGGAATTTAACAGGCCTGTCGATTTCCTCAAGATTCGGAAGACCACCAGAAGACCTACTGACTGAAGTTACGTAATTCCCCCGTGGTCATTGCTCAATTTATTAGCTCTAAACTCTACGTTGTACACTCAACGTTTTGTGCTCTCCATTTACCATTCAAAACGTGATGATGAACTGCTACTATTGTCCCAGAATTCTGTTCACGTTTCTGAACGAGTCTTCCGTTTCGCAAGCGGAATTTTTTCAACTATAAATGATCTTGGTAGTCAGATATAGAACGTAACTGATACAGATTTTGAAAAGAATAATTTTAGCTTGGTGTATGCCCGAAATGAGTTAATCTCTATTAAGATCACCACCGCTCATATCTTACATTGTCAACAAACCAATTTCATTGATGTGTTATGTCATCATGATGGGTGAATGCAATGTAGTCGTATGAAATCGATGTATGTTCTTCATCAAAGCACACATAAATATCACAAATGACACTATCCTGGACCGACTCTTTGATGCGCAATCGGCAGCAAAATGGTCCGGTCGGTCGCGTTGCTGAACTCAACCTATCGGATTGCTTGCACTTGGACCTTTACAATCGCTATCTGATGGTTGGCCATCTACACCTTTTACCAACAAGCTTTAGCCAAAACCCGTAGTCCTTTAGCCTCATCGCACCAACTTTATTCTAGGTGCAGTAGCCGAGTGAGATCAAAAGTATCGGAGTATTCTGAAATCAACGGATGGTGAAAAATTATTTTCTACAAATGTTGATGTAGCAAAGCCTGGTTAGGAAATAAGGTGTGGGCGTTGCATACAGCAAAACGCTGATTGGAGAAAGTTTAACCGATCTACCCGCAGCGCCAAACCATTTGACACATCTCGTACAGATTCAGTGTGAACTCTGTTCATCAAAAGGGGATGAAAAATGGTCATGAGGATAACAAACCGCTCATGGAAGTACACCCTCAAAACTAGCAACAGTTTATTAAAAATGCAACGTAGATGCTTTATAGTGGTGCGCGCGGAATGTCGAACGTTCGCGATGTTCGACCATCAATGATTTGTTGACAAACAAAGTTGCATCATATATCAACACATATCACACACGACTCGTTGAAGGATAACTGCCGCTTGTGTGCAAATTGCGTGCAACACCTATGTATCCAAAATCATCACCATCATCATCCGAATCATCAGCATCATCATCTTCATCATCATCATCAACATCATCATCCAAATCATCATCATCATCATCATCAACCTCATCATCATCATCATCATCATCATCATCATCAT